CATAGGCTACACATCAAAGCACTCACTACTATGGCTAGGAGCGAGTGCTTTGATGCTTCGCATAGGCTATACATCAAATCGCTCCGTATAGGCTACACATCAAATCGCTCCGCAAGGTAGCCAAGTCTTGTCAAAGCCCAAGTTTAAGAAGCGTACGATGCGAAGTGCGAAGAGGTTAGTTATAATTGTTTAGTACACTATTAGTTGTGGTTTTTTTAAATTCATTATTTTTCTATTAAGTATTTTTATGTTTGTCTATATCAGCACAATGTTTGACGCTACACAGAATTCAAATAAAGCAGTTACAAATATTACAGTCCAAGTACTGAGTCAAATTTGTGCTTTCTTAGGGTGTAAGCAAAGTTGGAGCATATTCTGATGGATACATGCCCTAGGAGAAATAGACTAAAGTCTCAAACATTGCACAACCTAGTGTATGTCTACTATAACTTGAAATTGAGAGCTCCCACAGACTACACGCCCATCAACCTTAATTACATCTTCCAAAACGATCTCGCTGAGAGTGAGTATCACAAAGGACCACAGTGTTAGACCAATATTTCATTAGGGCATTTGTCGATATGAATAATAATGAGGACGTTGCAATACCTAATGAAGGAGACATGACAAAAGATGTGGACATCAACGATGAGGAGTACGCAGAGGATGAAGATGAGGATTAGGATGACGATGAGACATATAAGGCAATGAAAAATGATTAGCAAGAGCCAATCATGGAGGATTGTGAAGGGGCACAACATGATACAGAACCCGATGTAGAAGAAGATGATGCATTGAGATTGGTTCGGGAGGAAGTCCAGACATCAAGGTGTAGCAGCTACTCGGCAAGGGAGAGATGAAGTTGTAGCCAGCATTGTAACCAGGTGGTTGAGGATGACAATAATGTCAAAGCTGCTGAGAGTCATAACACAGACCAAGGTGGGGGAGAGCACGATGGCTAGACGAGTCTAGGAGATTTTGGCCAAGGGTATCACGGAAAATATTTCTAACTAGCAAGGCGACACAATTGCAGCACTACAAACTCCACCATGACTTATTCAGATTTTTCGTACAGTGAACCCTGTGAATCCTAATAGCGAGACACAATAGTACCTTACACCCCTCACCACTCTCATTAGTACTAGCCAGTATTAGTTGCACTTTGTAACTCCCTCTATTGAATTAATGTATGTTGAATTCTAAATTGTATTGTATATCTTCCTAGTCCTCTTATAGTAATTTATATTAAAAAATTGTTTTAAATTCTATATTTTAAAGATAATAACAAAATATACATAAAATCTATGTTTTTCCATATTTTTTAATCTTTTTTGGTTTTTTGACCCATTTTAAAAAGGAGGAAATCAACCTATAACCAACTCTGCAAGTTTGTTTTTGAGGAGTAGCTTGAGAACATCGATCATTGGTTCTTTAATGCGAGTGAATTCCCCAGGAATTGTTTCTTGAGTCCGCTATGTATAGAAATGACATTTATCCATATCCCTAAGCTCTTCTTTTGTTGAGGTTCAATTATTAATCGATTCCTAATGGAGCTAATTTTATCTTTTGAGCTATTATAGCGGCCGGCCATTTTGGACATGGAACCAAAAGAGAAGGGTACACTATTCTTGCTAAAGAAGGATGTGTACTTGAGCATGACATTCTTTAAGAGGATATCAATATGTGCATGATCATAGAGATTGCATTCAAGAACCCAAGAAGCGGTGTTTCTAAATCTCTCAACAAAGTCATGGAATGCTTTGTCTTCTTTCTGCACCATTGAAGTATGCTCCTCTAGTTAGAGTTTGTTGCATGGTAATAAGACTCAAACTTTCAAAACATTTTGGGGATCACATGCCTATCTTCGAACAAACCGACATGTGTTCGCTTGGAATTATTAAGAGATGCTAGGGTTGGATCCTACAGTAGCAACCCATAAAAGCAACTACAAAGGAAGTTCCATCCAAATTCTGCTCTACAAATTGAAGTGAGATTAGCAAGTTGATAAAAGATGGACTATTAGGGAAGTCACATACCCCAGGTGGCTGGTAAATATAATGCCAATCAAGAAGAAAAATGGACAAAATCTTATATACATCAACTTTAATAACCTCAATACCGTCTGTCCCAAAGATGACCTTTCCTTACCCCTCACAGAACACACAAAAATTGTCACCCCCATTTACCTTTCTCACCAGATTATGGCAATCACCTATAGTTGTCTTGTGAAATCAGCCAACAAGGGACGTGTCATTAGTACTTGCAAAGTGTAAAAAAATTTCTTTCAGATTTACCCTAGCCATTTGATTTTTTGTTTGATAAATTATGGTCATTGTGACTTCTTTGTATCAAAGGTAAATGGTCTTAGATTGTACAATCACAAATAAAAAATAAAATGTTTTATGGACAAATTAATGTTATAAATATAATTTAGAAGGACGTAGGGAAGTCAATAATATTAAAAGACTTGAGAGAGAGAGAGAGAGAGAGAGAGAGAGAGAGAGAGAGAGAGAGAGAGAGAGAGAGAGAGAGAGAGAGAGAGAG